AAAAATAGGTGATGCAAATAAAATGTTAGGATCATCAGATGCTAACAGTTGTGTGTCGTTTGCGTTGCTACGAATATTTCAGTGTGAATTATTTAGCTGAGCAGAAACACGTGATTGAAAAAAAACAAGAGGACCAAGTACTGCACCCTGGGGAACACACAAAAACTCTGAGTCCTAAGTTGAATCTATTGTAGACGTCAGGGAAAAATTACTGTGATGCTACTTGTACAACCACAACTTTAAAAACATAGTGAAATACAGTGAATATAAATATGACTATTCAAGTACTTTTTACTTTGGGGCTGGCAAGAGAAACTCCGGAGATTGTCGGGAGCCTCTCACTCGGACATCCTCACATACAGCCCCTCTGGACAATGTCGGGAGACTCTCCAGGGTGAGGGATGAGGCTGAGGTTTACTGTGCGGCAGGAGGACACAACACGGACACACGCTGATGCAGTGGTCATTCCTGGAAAATGAAACTGATGATCGTCTCGGGATAAAATGAGGACATGTTTTTGTCTTAATGCACCCGTGGCAATGTGTCACTCCCTCAGAAGTTGATGAGCGTGCAGAATGTATGTAAATGTGTGTGTGTTCGTCTCCAGACACCGAGGCCATGGTTCTCTACCTTTGGACATTTTGATTATGGGGATGGGAACATGTATGAGTTGTATATCTGTGAATGTGGGCTTACGTGTGTGTGTGTGTGTGTGTGTGTGTGTGTGTGTGTTATTATCAAAACCAGAAACAGGAACAGGTGGGCGACAGTCAACATTTCCAATTAGTCACCAGTCAGGGACGACGCGAGAGCTTCAGAACAGAACCGTGGACACTCTCTGCTTTCAAAGAGCTCTCACATCCAAAGTCTTTGTTAGTCCCGTTCACATTCGGACTGTTTTAGAAATCTCTGGGCAGGGAGCAACATTGTGTAAGTCAGAGATGGAATGAGCAGAGCGAGACAGGCATCCACAGACAGGGAATCTTTACTATTGTGTAAAGCAGCAGCGACTTGGTTGCGGTGAGGCTCACTCCTCTGGCATGTCGGCACCACTCCGCTGGATTTGTTTCACACAGTCATGTTGAAATACTCCCTCACCGAGGCTCCTCGTAAACACCCTAATTAAGAGATTTTGACGTGACTCAACCAAAAATAGCAATTTGTTCTGCTATAAAAGCCTCGTTAGTCTATTTGCACCACTTTTATGTGAGTGGCGTTCAGGCGAAGTTTTTCTTCAGGGGAATTTAACGTGTCAGATAAAATGAATGTCTGATATTTCCAACTTAAACATCCAGGAATCAGTGCAACACTCAGGGCTTTGAGACAGAAGATGCAACAAAGTCATCCAGGAAAGAGGTCTGGGAAAAGTTTCCACTGTGTAAGAGGCGCAATGTTCGCTCCTGTGTTTTTCAGTGGTTTTTGAGTTCACGTCATTAACGATGCCACTGTGTACAGTAAACTGCCCACTGGAACCAATAGAACCACCCAGAACCAGCCAAACCCAAGAAGGTGTTTCACAGGAATCGTCGTTAATATTTGTCCACACAACACTCGGCATCCGAGACAATATCACAACTGTCCCGAGTGATCTTTCACGACTCTGGTTTCTCCAGCACTAATCCGCGATGGCCGCCGCTCAACAAAGAGCTGTTTGTTGAGCAAGCGACCCAATTGGTCTTCTCCGGTAGTTGCGCAGACATGTGATTAGTCGACTTGTGTTTGGATTTTTAAAAAACTTGTTGTGGCTAATCTCTCCCCCCCCCCCTTCCTGCTACACACAGCGGTAGACAGTGGCGTGGTGAAAACACCCACTTGGTTTCTTTACTCTGAAAGACGATGGCTGACTGACGTATGACTCATGGTATTTCCTCTCCTGAAAATACACCAGGAACCGAAAAAAAAGGCTAAATTCTTGCATAACTCATTTTTGCTCCACAGGCATGCACGCTGGTTTCACTCAGAGGTTCTCAGTGCATTCTGCAGAACTACGTTGTGGAAGGAGTGCCATGTGAAGGTTGTGTGCTGCAGTACAAACCGTGGCTTACCTTCACCTGCAGGGTGGGGTCGACACGCCCTGAATCAGGTCCGACCACATTCTCCGTTCTCACTTCTCTCTCTTTTGTCTCTCGCTTGTTTTTTTAATCTCGTGTCAAACCGTACGGATCCTGATATGAGCACATCCAACATCTCTGCGTGCACGCCCGGAGGGAGTTGTCCGTCAGCGTGGGTAGAGCGTGAAAGGTTTCTGACTCCATGCGACAGATGCAGTGTAGATTTTGAGATTAGAGAAGTTGATTCCAAACCTGAATTGCAGAATTTCAACAGACCCTTTCTTTCCCATGGGAATTTGGGTGGGACACACCGAGGACGTTGAGAAGTATGAAGGTGTGACAGTGGAACATGAATGGACGAACACTGTGTCACGTGTTTACAATTTCGTCTGTGGAGTTTGATGTTATTGTCATGGAAAAGAGTGATGCGATTGTTTTACCATCAGGCATCGTTCAGATAAACACTGGCTATGTTTAGCATTCCAGCTTTTTCTCAGTCCCTCTGCCCACACATGAAAAGGTTTATTCTCCATGACAACCACATTAAAACGCACAGAACTGTCATCAAAGAAGAAGAAGAAGGAGAAGGAGGGCCTCGGGTTCATTCCTCAGACAGATGTCAGACAATAGTTTATGTCTGTGTGTTTGTGTGTAACCTCGTGACCCCGGCAGAATGTAGCCACACGAGTAGCCGCGCTGTAAACACGAGCCGGCTCAGATGATCCGTGAAGCCTCTCATTATCCTGCCGGCTCAAACCTGAGGCCGAGGTCGACATGACGCTGACCAGGTTCTCTGCTGAGCCTTTGACTCAGACCCCAGTCACAATATCTTTATCCTCACCAGGAGCACAACAAGTGACCTCAGTGTCCCAGTCAACACCGAGTTCATTTGAGTTCTGTGTATCTGACTTTGATTAGTGAACTTCAGGGTGCGACGCTCATAAGCTCCCAATTATTGTCATTACTCTGCTTCCTCTTCATCGAGACGCTTCCTTATGCTGATTCCTGGGGGGTCTTCATTTGAACTTGTGCAGGAACACGAATACTCTACAGTCTTATTCTTTAACTGACCGTTCAGACTTTTTTAGATGCAGCAGTAATATTGTGTGATTTGTGAAAAGAATAAAAATAAAATGGGAAAAATCTTCCCCGGATATTGAAGGAGAAATGCTGACTTTGCAAGTCGTGCATGGCTCTACCGGAGGTGAGGTTGTGAACAGAGTTGTTTTAGCTGAGAGAGTAGAGTATCATCATCATCATCATCATCATCATCATCATCATTACCATCTGCCATCAGACGCATCCTCTCACAAAACACAGGTCAGTGTGGGCGTGTCCCTTTAAAGAAGTTGTAAATATTGAAATGACCTCTGACCTCTACTGTAAGTGACATTAAATCACCGCCAGTGTCGTTCCCATGTCACTGACGTCTCCCCCGACTCGTCCACTGACTCTTGCATTAAACTTTAACTCTTCATCTGACGATACAAACATTTGTCACTTCATGTACTTCACATTTCTCTCTTCCTCGTCATTTATTTCACTTGTAACCAGTTGTTGTTTTCCATCTTCATCTTTCGACCGTCCCAGTGCTACAGTTATTCCGTAGATTCGTCCCTTTTAATTAAATACATTTGCGATCTCTTTTTTTTTTACCAGTATACCTTCATGCTGTTCTGTGAATTCAAACGTTTCTATGTCATTTTTCGTTCGTGCCGATTCGTTTGCCGGTGCCATTACCTGAATGGATCCTGGGATAAATGACGCATCCTCCCACTGGGGCATTCGTTTCTCAGACTGAGGGACACGTTTATCGGCCACAGCTCCTGAACTGAGACACAGTTTAACTTATGAAATAATTTTAAATGTATTAAAACCATTAAAATCAGTCTTCAGATGATTCGATATGATTCGAAATGAGGCTCTGACATCAGCGCTGCTCTCCTCCACGACCTCAGCCTCAATCACTGAGCTCGATGACAAACAAGCAAATGTTATTATGTGTCATTATGTCATTATGAGAAGAGATACTGGCAGATTAAAAACATTCTTTCTCAATCTAAACTAATTCCACTGACAGCAGATTAGACCTTGAGGAGCACATCAATCACAAGCAGCAATCAAACAATGACGGTGACTAATAACAGCGATAAATGAACTCACAGCCCATGTGAGAAATGTCTCCAACGCCCCCACGCCTCCACAATACCTCCCTAAGTCCTCGTTCCCTCCGTCGTCTTCCCCTCCTCCTTTCTCACTCAAGCTATGACTTGTACCCGTTTGCCTCCTCCTTCTTTTACCCTCGCCACCAACAACATTCCTTCATCCTGAAACCTCTTCCTCCGTAACAAAAGCGGGAAAAGACGGAGGGTGGTGATCAGGAAGAGACGAAACACTCTTTGGTCGGGAGTGTTTGTTTATGTGTTCCGCAGCAGCAGCAGCTATGTGGTAGCGATTAGGACTCGGCTGAAGCCTGTCTCCATGGCAGCGTGCGCAGAGTCACTGTCAATAAAGCCCAGTGTTGTGGGAGTTTCCCTCTGAAACACCAGTGAGTCATGAGCTGCCCTCACTGTGACAATCACCATCATCGGGCCCGATGACAAAGACATGAGACACCAAAACACACAAGGAGAAATCTAGGACCTCGCCGCAGAGGCCGTTGAAACTGCATATTTCTAGAATAAACACAGAGAAGGGGAGGGTGGGACTGGGAGAAAAGAGCGGGGCAGGAGGGAGGGAGGGAGGGAGGGAGAGAGAGAGAGAGAGGGGAGACAGAGATTATGAGATCAGGCAGGAGAGAGGTTCGTCTGGGGTGTGGACTCCAAGAAGAGGGCAGGGCAGAAGTGGGCGGACGGGTCGCTCCTGGTGTTTGTGCATTTAGACGCAGGGTTTGAAACCAGTGTCGCTGAGTGAAGGAGGAATTACACTTGAAGACACAGACGGCCGACAGTCGACAGTAAGTCACAGATTCTGCTCTTATAAAAACCCTTCAGTTGTTTTTTACTTCTCTACAGTCGCTTGATTAACAAGTGGGGATATGTGAATGTGCAGTTTTACTTCAGGATTGTGTTATTTTTATACAAGACAAGCAACTCAGTAGAAATAGAGTACAGGTGTGTGTGTGTGTGTGTGTGTGTGTCTCATACCTGCTCAGCCACTTCTGAGTTACAGTAACTCCATTATGTGGCAGGTGAGGATGATCCTGCAGCAGTTTGTGAACTTTAAATTGAATTGTGAGTCTCCGCTCTGCTCTCCTTCCTCTCAGCCACATGTATTTTATTTGTTCTCGTGGAAATATGCCACATGCGAACCCAGATCTAAAAAAAAAAACAATGTGGACACGTTGAAAACATTCAATGAAACTGTTCCAGGTGTGTGTGTGTTTTTGAGTTAAAGCGTCCAACTCACTTTTTTTTTCTTTTTCCAACCAAAAGTTGAGGATTAAAGTTTGGTCGTCTGACAGGAAACATTTATATTTAACTCAGAGTCTGTTACACGTGAACGGTGGGAAACGCTTAGTGTCAGACATGGTCACATGTGTGTCAGCGTGCCCTCGTACGAGTGTGGGTGCGTGTGAGAGAGGCAGGGAGCTGGCATGTGCGTGTGTGTGCGTGTGTGGACCCAGCCCCTGACCACTCCTTTAGCGTAGAGAGAACCAGCACATTCCAGATGTGCCTCTTCCTCTGTTCACACCCAGTGGAGCGGCCTCCGCAACTGGATTCAGATAATCCACATGTGAATACTGAGAAACACGAGTACGGATCAAACCTCTGGTCCGACTGGTGTCTCCGGGCCGAGCCGCCTGAAGTTACGAGCTTCAGGCGTGAGCCAGCGAGGAACAGCAGCTCTCCTCCACAGTTATTTTAAGGAGTGGCGGGTTTCTTGTGAGCACAAGACAAGCCCAAACTCATCTGCCTGCCATGAACGGAGAGCTCCCCTCCTCTCATTACCGCCGAAAATCTACCCGAGGATGAAGTGAACTCTGGGAAATACACAGAAAACTACTCTGAATGTGTGTGTGTGTGTGTGTGTGTGTGTGTCTGTGCCCCCCCCCCCTCGATAGTACTCTGTGTAAGAACATGTGAAGAGTCTTTAGCAGGAGTTTCACTGCGAGTGTGGAACTCACAGTAATTAGAAGTTGTGAGGCCACGCCCTGAGTTTTGGCTTTTTTTTCAATGTGTTTATGAAGATGTGTGTGTGTGTGTGTGTGTGTGTATGTGGGCTGTCATTAATGGCTCCAGGGTTAAACCATGCAGGAAGTGGGGAGCTTTTGTTTTAGGCCATATTCAATTCTTACTGTTCAGTGTGTGTTTGTGTGTGTGTGAGAGTGTGTGTGTGAGTGTGTGTGTGTGTGTGTGTGTGTGTGAGAGTGTGTGTGTGTGTGTGTGTGTGTGTGTGTGTGTGTGTGAGAGTGTGTGTGTGAGTGTGTGTGTGTGTGTGTGTGTGTGTGTGAGTGTGTGTATGTGTGAGTCACCTTTCATTATATTCAAAATGCACAATTTGAAAAGTGGTGTAACAACTTTTCTCCTTCCCGTCCTTCTCGTCCCTCCCTCTCTCTCTCTCTCTCTTTCTCTCTCTCCCTCTCTCTCTCTCTCTCTCTCCAGCACAGTCATCATGCTGATCCTCCTCGCTGCCATCTTTGCCATTCACATCATCGGCATCATCCTCCTCCTGGTGGCTACTATTGACAATGTAAGTGAGACGCTGTGATCGGCATTTCACCTCAACATACCTGCACAGTGCATCACACCATCTGTACACACACACACACACACACACACACACACGCACACACGCGCACACACATCCAGTTAAACGTGGCCTGACATCCTGAAGGCCTAATCCCTTATGACAGCTGCTCACGTCTCTTTCATCACCTCCCGTCTGTCAATGTTCCACGGTTCTTCTCTGGTGGAGCATATTCAACATTTCTTTGTGTCACCAACAAGTGTGCGTGTGTGTGTGTGTGTGTGTGTCAATCAATCAATCAATCAGTCGGACGGACGGAAGGAAGGAAGGCCTGCACATGCTGCACACGCATATTTACATATGTGGCATTCTTGCCTGTGCTTTAGCGAGCGCTGCGTACCAGAGAGAGAGTTGTGGAATTCCACAGTGACCAGAAGTTTCCCTCCCTCTGATCGTCCTCGCCTCGCCTGCAGCTCCCCTCCACATTCATGTCACAACACACACACACACACACACACATGTTGCGTTTACTACACAACATATTTTGAATTCCCCTCATTTCTTCCCGACCTCCCTCGTATTAGTTCGTCCATTTTGCAAAGACGGTCGTTCATACTTACACAACAGTTTCAGCAGAGTTTGATTGACCTCACTGCTCTCTCTCCCCCCCTCCCCCCCTCAGGCCTGGTGGATGACTGACACCATGGCCACCGACGTGTGGGGCCGCTGGATCCTGGAAAAGGGGGGCGCTTGGAACTTCACCGATCTTCCCGAAGGATCACACTACCCACAAGGTAAGACGTGTCCCGCACAGAGGCCACGTGAACGTTCAGGATTTAATAAAACAGAAGTTCGACAGAAATGTTTCGTAGATTCTTCTTCTGGTGAAAAAAACTTTGCTTCTGCTAACATTTGATGCCCAACCTCCATTTACTGGATTATGCATAAATCTGCAAAATAAAAAGAAAAAGGGATTTTTTAACAGTAATTTATTAAACGTTGTGTATAAAAACTCTAAATATCTACACGTGAATGACTGCGTTGAGTAGAATCCCGTCTCTCTGTTGAAACTCTCTACTTTAATAGTTACCAGGAACAGTAACGTCTCGAGAGTCGTGATATGAACAAAAATAAACATTTTCATTGTGACATTTATTTTTGGCATCTGCTCTAAAATTAGGAATGGAGGAAATGTAAGAAATCAGAAAGAGCCGACTCATGTTTATCTCTTATCTCGTGCACGGTTGCGGTTTTGTTTGTACTCTCACATCTGATCTTCAGACAACAGAATCTTCACAACACTCAGAATGTTTTGGAATCCCCAAATACTTGGGATCACGGAACGAAACATTCCTGCCACTCGCAACTGTCTGAGCAGATTTAGTGTTTCGCTGCGACCTCGGTGTTTCCTGGGCGTGTCCGTACCGCGTGTAGCCGGGGTCACACCCTCACTCACTGTGTCGCTCCACCTCTGGCTCCCCCTGCAGATTACCTCCAGGCAGTACAGGCCAGCTCCATCCTCGCTTGCATCTTCTCCATCGTGGGCATCTTCGTGTTCGTGGCTCAGCTCTTCACCCTCGACAAAGGAAAGAGGTTCACCATCTCCGGCATCTTCCAGTTCCTCGCCTGTGAGTTTTTTGAAAAATCTTTTCTCTCTCTCTCTCTGCACGTCCACCCCGACTATTCTCTTCCCTCGTCCACTCCTCTCACTGACGTCCCACCTCTGCTTCCCTCCAGGCCTGTGCATCATGATCGCGGCCTCCATCTACACAGACATTTTCCACAAGAACGAAAACGAAGGTTGGTATGGTCACTGCTTCATCCTGGCGTGGATCTCCTTCGCTCTCACATTAATCTCCTCCATCACTTACTTTGTGCTACGCAAGAAGACGGCGTGAGAAGGACACTAGATCTCGCTCCGACCGGCCCCAACTCTTCTTGGTTGGATCTACCCTTCCAGCTGAAATCTGGGTTTAGTTCGATTTTTGCAGATTTGAGCTGCCAGTGTAAATCCAGCTGCAGATAGAACAGATGTGTTGATCCTCCCAAATACAAACTGAGTGTTTTACTGAGTCTGCCTCCAGAGGATCAGGATGTTTTTTCTGCTCAGTCGATCCCTGTTTTTGTATTTGAGGGAGTTTTCAATCTAGAGGTTTGAGCTGGTTTTCTTGTGGGCATCTAAGGATTAAGAATATTATTTTTGTAGTTATCTGAACCAAAAAGGCCTTGATGTTAATAAGATGATAAATTAAGATCTAACATTGTGTCCGGCTTGTAAAGAAAGCTGAAGAGTGAAATCTGTGGTCTTTTTTTTTTTAGTAATGTACATTTATATATGGATACGAGTGTCGGATAAAGAAATGCGACTTTATGATTTAATTTTTTTTTCTTTCGATATTATATTGTTAGTTCTGTTACCTGCTCTGTTCTGACGTCACAAAAAGTGCCACTAATTGACAAGCAACACGATGCCGTGGATTTTTTAAAGTGCTCTGTGTGTGTGTGTGTGTTCTCACCATGAAAACTATGCGATGACATCAAGTGAAAAATCAATAATGATTTCTTTTGGTGATTAGGAAAAACCAACAAATCCGTGTTAATGTTAGATATCTCTGATCTCTGGACCCAATAAACTGACGAAACGTGTCAGAACTTTTTCAAACTGTTGAGAATATCGTCTTACGCACACACGTACGTATGAAACGTGACATTTTACACAAATGGAATAACCAAATATGGACGTAAATCCAAACACGTAACATATCACTGTCATATACTTTCCTTCCTTTGAATCTTAAGAGTGTGAGACATAATGTGTAAATATGATTTGTTTCCCACGATGTTCCACATGTCAGATGGTTTAATTTTACTTTGTTATTTCTCACCGTGAATGAAAATGATTTTAAAATATTAAAACTTGATTTTCAACCAGTTAGTGAAGCTTTGTTCTGTTGTGTTACAGTGGCTGCAATGTTGGATTAGATTTGTTGTTGATGATCACATTTATTTGATATTCATTTTGAATATTATAAAGTATTTCTGTTATTGTGGACGGTTTGTAAAGCAGGGGTGTATCCAGTTTTTCCCGGGCCTGTGCCTGTTGTTCATTCTTGAGCAGATGATAAAAAAAAAAAAACACTCACTCAGTTGCTGTTCCTGGATATTTTACATTTATTTATAAGTTTGTGTTAAATTGAGCCTAAAGGTTCCAACAGAGAACACATTCCTCCGTGGTACATCAAGTCTCCTGCATCTACATCGTCCTTCTTTTTCAGAACAGAGTGATTATGATCAAATCTAATTACCTCATTGAGTCTGGAGACTGGAATGTGAATTCAGAGCACATGACAAGTGCATGACGAACATTGACCTGCAGCGCTTCCAAAGGAGGAAGACGTGAGTCTGGATCAAAAGGTCAAAGTGGGCTGTAGACCTCCCCCGGTTCGAAGGGGTCCTCCCTGTGAGCCGGCAGCGCCACGCGGACGGAGGCCGGCAGCATGGGTGACGGAGACTGTGACGGGAGCGACAGGCGATGGAACGGAGACGCGGGTGCAGGACTGGAGGGGTGAGGAGGGAAGGAGTCAGAGTGGGGGAGTGGAAGCGAGTGGGAGTGCGTGAGCCTCGGAGCAGAGGCCGGCACTTTGGTGGAGGGGGGCTCATAGTAGGGAGACAGGTGGGAGATCCGGGGAGGTGACGGGGGACAGGCCGGGTTGATGGCTGCGTTTGGAGGGGTGTAGTAAGGAGCCGGCGGCGGGAGCCCCACAAAGTTTAAGGTCCAGGGGTTGAAAGTAAAGCGGGGTCCCACCATCAAGACCTTCTTGGTGTAGTTGTTGAGGGTGGAGACGCCGGCGGACATGCAGACCGTGAAGGCAAACCAGGCCACGCTGACGACAGACAGAGACAAACAGAGCTTCTGTGTTTGAACAGACGAGCAGGTGAGTGTGTGTGTGTGTGTGTGTGTGTATGCAAATATATGTTTGCTCCAATTAGATTTAATTAAAGAGAAAAAGCACAAACATGGAAAAACAGGATGGAGTTCAGTTTCCTTAAGAGAACGTAGCTGTACACAAGTACATCACTCACATTACATGAGTCGAATCAACTGTAAGAAATAAGTAAAGAAAACTAATGTACAGAAGTGAGTTTAGAGATATCACCTGTTAGACACTTAACAACAATAATAATAATAAATCATTCAGAATAAATGGTGGTTCATGGGATATTTTTCAGTTTAAAGCTACGTTTACCATTAAAGAGGTTTTTTTTCGATAATCACATTTCCAGTAAAGGCTCAAGAGGAACTGGGAGGCGGGTCACATCCTGCACAGGTCACAAAGTGCACACAGAGTCAAACAACCAGTCACGCTCACACCTACGTTCTACTTCACGCCTCCAGTAAACCTAACCCCAAACTGTGTGTCCTGTGGGAGGAAGCGGGAGGAAACCCAGGTGAACACTGGGAGAACATCCAACATCAGTCTGTGAGCCCGTTGCATCGCGGTGACGAGACTGACAATAGTGTGCAGAGTGAACTCACTAGAAAGCCCAGGAGTAGCCGTAGCTGTGAGGTTTGAAATCCTCTGGTCCCATCGAGGCGGTCGTCTGAAACACCTGCATGAACATCATGTGACCCACCATCCCGAGCAGACCTGAGGGGACGCAGACCAGATGTTTTGGCTCGACAATCAGAAACACGTCAATCGTGATCGTCGAGGTCATTGAAAACTCGCGTTACCTCCCAGGACCGTGAACACAGCTGCGAAAGCGTTCAGCAGCTGGCCCCAGCGCTGTGTGGACGGGCACCAGGCCCTCATGCACAACTGCACCGACAGCAGCGTGCAGCTGATCAACAGCAGACCGACGTACATCAGCTCCAACGACAGCGACAGCCACATCATAGCTGCAGAGGAGGAGGAGGGAGGAGGAGGAGGAGGAGAGGCTGAGCACATGAGACAGACGAAGATTTCAGTCAGTCAAAAAGCAGGAACTCACCTTTCTCAGATCCGGGAGTCAGAGTGTAAAACCCTCGACACTTCTCCTCTGGAGACAAAAGAGAAACATCAGAGTTACAGTTTCACCTCGATGACAATAAATGAATAAATCAGCCTCAGTAACAGGAAACGTGTCCATTTGCATCGGGAAGCTTGTCGTCGAGGCCTCGGCTGGTGATTTGTAAAAGTAACAGCTGTGACATTTTGCTGTACTCGCCATCGTTTCTCCGTTTCCCTAAGTTCAGAACCCCCCCCCCCCGCCCGCCTGTGCATGAGGTGCACGTTGCACATTTCAATGAACGCCGCAGTCTAATTACTGTGAAGAAGCAGCCGGAGGAAACAGTTTGCACAAAGTGTTTACGTGGCCTGAAGTAACCTGACGGGAGATTATGAGATTTGTTCGGCGTGAATCTGGAGGGACAGGGGGGTGGGGGGGGGGGGGGGGGGGGGGGGCACACACAAAATCAGTGCCACAGCAAAAGAGGACTTTGTCATTGGGCCTCGCCGCTTCCAGTGGGAAAAAAATAAATAAATAAAAAAGCTGAGATAAAAAACGAAAGCAGCCGTTTCTGCTGTCGGTTAATCCTCTTTGTGGCTTGTTTACCAGTGTGTTTACACGACAGCTGGAATAATCAGAGTATCCTATTTGGCTCTCGGTTACGGAGGAAGCTCATCGGACAAAGCAGGAGCAGAAGAAAAGACAGATAAAAAGAATGAAAGTACAGTTTCACCGACAAACAAACGCTTTGACTTACGACTTGTGCAGTAAACGATTCCAGGAAAAATATCAACAAGAACCAAACCTGTTTCCAGCTCGTACAAACGGAATCACGGTCTGATGTGCATCGTCTCAAGAGACAGATTTCAGGTCTCTGGCTGTAAACGTCCAAACTGTTTTAATTACTAATCATAAAAATCAATTAGGAACCAAACGGTTAGTTACAAAGCTTTCATTGGTTTTTTATAACCGACCACGTGCTCCGACATCCGCTTCGTTTAAAGTCAAATCCTTCAAATCAGCACAAATCAGCTGCAAATGAGACGTTGAGAAGCAGCTGATGTTTGAGAATCCCATTAACCTTTCCTCCTCTCTCTGGGTCTCTAATCCATAATTGAGTCATGCTGCTGGAGACTAAATCTCAGCGAGCCGAACACACACTGATGATAATCCTCTTTGGGCCGAGCACATGGCCGCACACACACACACACACACACACACACACACACACACACACACACACACACACACACAAACACACATATATAAATTAACACACCTGAGACCTCATTCATGTTATTAACTCACATCCCCTCCCCCTCTGTGGCCTATTTCTTTGTCTGTCGCACTAGTGTCGCACTTATGACACAAATTGTTTGACTGTAGATCCTTATCTCACCTTCATCCCCCCCCCCCCCCCCCCCCCCACACACACACACACATCTGTTTCCCTCCTCTCACCCCATGCGTCTGTGTAGATGTTTTCCTCACAGGTGAGAAACAGGCCCGTGTGAAAGGTGGGGAAGACGAAGCGGTCGTCCCCCGTCTCCCAGGAGAACTGGATGTTGGAGTTGGAGACACCAGGGACGGGGATGCAGTTGCTGTGCTTGACGGGCGTGCACAGCGGCTTGGGCACCTTCTGCTTACCCACGCACCAGTAGGAGGACATGAGGGCCGTGCCGCCCAGGGAGAGGGACACCACCGTCTGGATGAAGGAGAGGCGAGGGGAGCGCATCTGCTGCAGCAGCGCCATCGTGCAGATGGAGGGGGAGGGGGGGGGTTTAAGGAGAGTTTTCACTGGTGCAGGAAAAAGCAGGGACGAGGGAGAGACATCGAGAAATGGTCAAATGTGCAAACTCTGAATGGGATATTCAGATTTTTTGTCTAAATGAATGAACTTCTAGTAAAGGGTCCAGCAGATCGCCTCCTCTGGCCGCCATGACACCAGCGGAGGGTACAATGGGGGGTACAAGGGGCAACTGCGACCGTCCGAGAGAGGAGTTTACCTTCATGGCTGATTCCTTCACGTGCAGAGGAGGAACGAGCTTCTGCACGAGAGAGACGAGTCAGAATCTAACCAAAGACCCAGAATAACAGTTCGAGCTTTTTATTGGTGATAAAAATTACTTTTGGTTGATGGATCGTCGCAGTTGCCCCCATAAGATTAGACTTTAACCGCCGTAAACACGAGACGGGTGGCTCGCGGTTTTTCCTTCTTCATCCACCTCCACTCTCGTAAAAGAAACTAAAAATACCAGCGGCAGCACGTTGTTTGTTTCCAAGGAGGAAGAAGCAGCTCTGGAGTTAATCACATTTGAAGAATAAAAATCACTGTGACAGAAAATAAGCAAACTAGTAATAATTGGTGGGAGGAAGCTAAATCACCGGAGGATGTGAGAAAATTAGTGCCACTCACCCCCTCAGGCTGTTTTACGTCTCACTCTGTTCTCCGCTCCGTCATCAAGGTGCAAGAAGCCACCGACCCTGCTCCTCCGGCCGTCTCTGCTCCCTCTCACTCCTCATCAGATGGCGAGAGTGACGGAGGACTTTGGGCCGTCACACTGACCTCAGTCTTTATGATCCGACCCCAGCGGTCAGACACACACACACACACACACACACACACACACACCCCTCCTCTTTAATCCATCTGTATAAATCCAAAACAGACATCTCTGTTCCATCTGTTTTCATTTTGATTCCTCGACTTATTTTGACGGCTTCTCACTCATCTCTCCACCTCTTCATCATCATCTCCCTCGTCCGATGGCTTCGGCCGGTAAAAAACAAGCGGCTCCGATCAGTGAACGACCCCGACGTGACCTTGAACCGGTGAATAAACAGATATTCACTATTACGACAACATACGTGTGCACCAGTGGCAGTGGACCTGGGGGGGTGGGGTTATTTAATCACTGTGGAGGCTTCATGTTGTTTTCAGAGGAAGATAATGTTTAATTCGTCTGGATGTTGTTAAATACCTTTAATTGTACTGTTAGCGTTTAAGTGGATTTGGTCAAGTTAAACCTGGATCTTAAGAGGAACACATTATTTCTTTAACTGCTTGTTTTATGTTTCTACATCACTGGCACTAGACTTCACCTTCAACCATTTAAACACTTATTACAATTACTTTCTGTTAAGTATTCATCTATACGGCTACCTCAACCTTTTCCCATTACTTTTTTTTTTTTTTTAAACTATTTCAACCATAATAAAATATTTTTCAAACAATTATTTTTGCTTTTGCCGAGTTTTCAAAGTTAACTTAGAGTTAGTGTTCAGGTGTTGGAGCTGAATCAATATATTTATATAGATTATTTAAAAACTAAACTTTCAGTTTATATATTTATCTTATTTCACTGATGTAATTATTATTTTATTGATCTAATAATTCCTAGTTATCAATTTGTGTTTGTTTAAATCTGTGTCAAACGTTTATTTGTACAATTTGCTTCTTCACCTGGAGCGGAACATAAATAAATCTTTACTCTTCACTTATCATCTGCCTCTTAACAACAGGTTGAGAATCTGAGTTGAGCCTCTGATAAGAAGCAAACAGCAGCTTCATTTATGCACAACCCCCCCCTCCCCCCATCATGTAATTACAACTATTAAGAATCTGATTTCATGTTTTATGACCCTTGAACTTTCGTCGTCTATTTAAAATCTGAACATTTGGTGAAAACATTCCATTTCTGCTGTTGTGGTTACGTTCACTCTTCTTTTCTGTTTCTCTACAGAAACCTTGACCTGGTGCAGCGGCTGTTACTCAGTCTGAGAGAGTCAGAACGGCATCTACACAAATTTGAAAGGAGGAAGAAGAAAGGATGGAAAGAGAAAGTGTGCACCCTTTTGTGTGTCTGAAAAACAGAGGTGGAGAGAAAGAACATAATCAATAAAAGATGAACGACCATAAAAAAAGAGAGGGGGCGGGGGAACAGAGTGGAAAAAGTAAATCTGGTGAAAATGAAGCAGGAGGTTTTATCAATCAGTGAAACCGAGGTCACAAAAATATGTTTTGCGTAATAAGCAGAGGAGCATAGTTGAAGCATTTTTAAGTGTATTCATATTTCATATACATATTGACAGGTTTCTAATACAGCATGGTTCTGATAGTGTAACTGTCTTCTTTCAGTTTGATTTTTTTTTTTTTACAAGAATAACAATAAAAAATGATAAAGACGACACCATGTACGACTCACTTCTGAATTTTTATGGCAATGCTTCTTTTGAATGGATTTTGCATCTCCCGATCGAATCGCTGCTGCGTCACTCAAGAATGAAACCATTCACAAGTACTTGGTTCGCGCCCCCCCCCCCCCCCCCCCCCCCCCCACTGGCCAGGACAGACGGCCAATCACAGCCACTCACATGACACCTTCTCCAAAGTTGTATAGTTCCAGACAATGGTTCATCACTCTGCGGGGCGGGGGCGGGGGGAGGGGGCCGACACCCGTCAGGTAAAACGCAACTTCCTATGTAGAACGTACGCACTTGTGCTCCCAGCACAAAGTCCCACAACAAAGAAAACAGTCCCGTGTCCCGTCCTTCATCTTTTTCCAGTCAGCACGGTTAAAGATGGCGGACACGCATTAGTCCATAGTGTTATCTCCTCCTCTTACAAGGTTCTGTCCTTCTCTTTGCACATTACAAACATTTTGTACTTGAAAAATAAGACTGTCCATCTGATTTTTCATGAATACTATCTGTACCGTAAAAACCCCAGTGATGAAAAATAAGAACACTTTTCAAAAGGACCAAAATGGAATCAAAGACCCAGATATCGGCATATTTTTCAGTTTCTCTCTCTCTCCCTCTCTCACACACACGCACTCTCTCTCTTCACACACACTTCTCACTCACACACGTGACTTTTGAAAGGCAACAGATGTCCGTTCTCCAAGGCAATAATGTCTTTGTGGCAAACTCGACCCTGACAATCCAGACATGACACTCTGGATCCTCCCTCTCCAGGAATGGTAAAAAAAAAGAAAAAAAAAA